TATTACTACTTGTTAGTGTGTAAAATATTGAGAGTTGTGTGGCCTGGTGTATGTAATGTAACCTACTTGCAAGCGAACGACATGAAGCTGTTGCTCAGTAGTCAGGGTTTATTCATCTCACTGCCTGGAAGTCAATACAGGAGTGGATTACTACCTGTTTGTGTGAAAAGTCCAGAGAACTGTGGGATATGGCTTCTGGCAAGTACTTAATCGCGTCCGCATCACATGTGTCATGTATGACACTGTTGTTCAGCAGACTGAGCTTGTTCACTTCCCTGCCTGAACGTCAGTGCAAGAGTGAACTACTATATGTTTGTGTGTAGAATAGTGAGCTTTGTGGTAAGGTTTATGTCAACTAATTCTGTCGCAAGCACACGTCCGCATCCTAGCGCCATACAAAGAGCTGTTGTTCGGTAGACTGCGCTGCTGCGCTTGTTCTCTTCGCAGCCTGAAGCTCGATAAAAAAAGTGAGATAAGAAGAAATTGTGCAATAGAAAGAAGGATGTGGCAGCTCTGGCTTGGGCCGAGCATCCCAGTTGCAATAAATCCTCCGCAACTCCTGCACTACACGTAGCTTTTGATCAGCAGAGTGAGGGTTCGTTGGCCTAACTGACTGACAGACAATAGAAGCCTGAAATTACAAACCATCTACCTATAAAAAAATCATGATTCTAGGAGCTTATTTATCAGCAAGGAATAAAGTAAAGTTCTGTACGAGTCAAGTACCTGAATCGCAAACACACATATCCGAAAAGCTTGTACCGAACATGAAACTGCAGATCAGCAGACTGGTTTCATCAACATTCCAATTTGAAAGTTTAACAAGAGATGATATGCCAACAATTTGTGTATTAAACTCAATGAAGCCTGTGCGTAAGTTTATCTGAAGTAACCCAGCCGCGTGCAAACCTCGCGCATCACCTGCACTCTGCATGGAGTCGCTACACAGCAGATGGGCTGAAAAGGTCAATGCAAACTACCAGCCTAAGATATGTAACATATATATTTTCAACTCGTAAACGGAGATACAATAATGCATATCATATAGGTCAAGCCATGCATGAAGTGGTTACTGATGTGTCTAGGATTGTTGACCTCACTGCATCTGATTTTATTGTTACCAAAGTATTCAAAATGTGCACGCACAATTTGTCAAAAACTAAATTCGCAAAGTGTGTGTTGGACGTTTTTGATACAACCTACCATCCGAGGAATAGGTTCCTGTTCCCCGGAATGCGATTTTATCGACGTGAATCACATATGTACCATCTGTGTATTCATGCTCAATCATTGCATACAATTTCTCTCAAGGGTCAACTTCACACACCAGCAATCCATAGTGGGCTAATTTAAGGTATCTTACCACACTATCCACGTTTGATTTATATACGTACTGCCATCGTCACTCACTAGTGACAAATACTAGCGGTGTATTTAGATTAGTTATCTTTGGGGTGCGTTCAATATGGACAGGTCCTCACGGATACGTAATAACATCACCATTGGTCGCAAGTCTCATCCTTGCAATTGCACATACCATTCCACGCATATACTTTCAGAAATATATATTTTACGTTACATAATGTGAATTGGACAAAGTCAAACAATAAACTAACATGCGCACATGTATTCTCAGCTCAAATACATGATATCACCGTGAGGGGTCATCCTATCAATTCATGCATATTCTTTCAACATACAATTCCGACAGTAGAATAGTTCAAGAATACCTTACCATTCCGGGCATGTTTTCTCAGATACGTGATATCATCACCATTCGTCACAAGTGTTATCGGTTTGTTCAGCATCGTCCGTTCCTGTGCGCCACCGCCTGCATTCCACAAGACCTGTTTGTCAGGCTTGTCGTGATACAGCCCATATATGGCATTGGGCGACTTTTCGGCGGGAGAAAATCCGGGGTGGGTGTGTTCTGGGAATTCTGTGCATGAATACAAAAAGGAGATTGAGTTGTTGGAGATGTGCGATGCTAGACTATTATGAGCGAGACATGTTCTGCATACGATATTTCGATATTTTTAAAAGGAATGGCAAGGAATTTGTCCACCCATATCAGCTTACAATACAAACGGATGGTATACCCTTGAGGTCAGCGTATGCGATATGTTTATGAGTCCAGTACACCCAAATCAGCTTACAATACATACAAATGGCATGCCCAAGAGGTCAGCGTATGCGATATGTTTATGAGTTCAGTACACCCAAATCAGCTTACAATACATACAAATGGCATGCCTATGAGGTCAGCGTATGCGATATGTATATGAGTCCAGTACACCCAAATCAGCTTACAATACATACAAATGGTATGCCCTTGAGGTCAGCGTATGCGATGTGTTTGATAGTTAAGTCAAACAAATAAGATGTGAATAACAACAGGACATACAATCCAAACACTTAACAAAAGTGAAAACTGTGCAGCCAATACACTGATTGCGCAAATAGTTAGAAAAACACAACAAAACAAGAGACGTAAGTGTGATGATTAGCTATGCATTGTATGTACAAAGGTTTGTATGCAATATCTCAAGTCCGGACCTTTACCAAATATAACAACTAGTCCCATCGAATGCCTTTATCGTATATACAAATTGATATGCATCCGCAAGTATACATCTACAAAGTGTAGGGATTAGCTAGCTTCTTATGTATATGATTTATTGTTGATTGCCTATATCTCTGCTAGTTCTCGCCTTCCGAGGACCCGAGGCGTTGTAAATCAGCTAAGTTATCTGTAACTGTAGCGCTAGGAAGAAGTGCAAGTGCTCAACTACATACCGAATAACAAAATACAAGTACTTGAATACACGGCAGAATAGACTGACCTGAAACTTCCTCCTGCTGATTGTTTGCTCTACTGCCGTCAGCTTCACTGTTATTTGCTGCCTGGTTCGTTTCGGTTACATCGCCATCGGTATTCGTCTTGTTAATCAGTGTTTGTGGATGCAAGACATGCAAACTACTAGTACACGGACAATCGACCATGTCGCTAAATGTGTCGGCGAAAATCAACGACGACTCCAAAACAACTGCATACTCTCCTCTACATCTCCCTACACCGTCATATATAGCGCACTCCCCCATGTAGTTATTCACATCTTCATCATCTCTTATATACCTAACAACAGCACTAACACCGCTCATATCCTGGCTTCTACATCCCACTTCCCCGTGTTGGTCCAATAAAGTCCAACACGGTGCATTGTTGCTGAGCCTGTGGTACATGCGTTCCCTAAAAGTCTCTGGTGTCTGTGCGCGGGCATGTCTGAGAACAGCACACGTAAGTGCGACGAAAGCTAACCTTATGTAAGTCATGATGTGTGCCAAGGTAGCGACTCTCGTGTCAAAATATCCATGTTTAAAACAAGGCCTTTATATATGTAAAAGTGTATTTATAATGTATTTACATTTCCAAAACTATCGCTATTTCTTTTTTGGAAATAAAGTTCACGGCCAGATACATATTACGGTCATGCTCCTGTGTTTTAGGGTTTAAAAAAAACTCCTGCTACATAACGATCATTGCGAAGACTAACCCGTTGGGTTGCATCGGCATGCACTGTTCATAACCGGTAGTCTTGTTGGCGCACCAAAGGTAAGCCTGGGTTACACTAAAAGAACATAATTATTTATTATCCTCTATCTGAAACCTGCACCATTCCAGTACTGGGCATCGGTAGAATACAAATGTATTGACAGATATAATCGATAAGCATATAAAAAAAGCGACATATCGGTAAAGAACGAGCTTCGACTCTCCATATTTGCAACAGATTCTAGTGCTTGGGAAAGTTCTTTTCCATGGGTATATGCTTAGCGGCAGAAATCAACGAGGTCTTGGTTTTGAAGAGATTGCTTTGTAGTCTGAGTAGAATAAAATGTACCTCGTCTATCGATATAATCTGTATGTATTTAGAGGATTTTATGATTATTGGTCCAATAGCATTCGGCCCATAAGGTACCTTGGTGGAGACAGAACAGATGTGAAGGAGAGATTCTATTGATTTAGGACGATAGAGATTATATTTACTCGCGAGTCGCGACTAAGAAGTGGTGCTCCTACCAAGCTGCGAGTTGACTATAGTATACGTTGCGCCAATGATATGTATTATATAATCAAATTTCAAGCTGTTGACAGCTTTGTTTTTTTCCTGCAAGTTCCAACTCAAGTACTTTATACATTACACATAGATGCATTTAGCTGACAAGCTAAAAGTTACTTGTTGCCATAATTGTCGTATATAGAAGATACAGAGGATGCACACTATGTCCTACACTACTCTTTATCAGGTTCTATTTATATCGGCGCTACTAAACTGCTACAAAGATAGATAGAGTACATGTTCGTGGAAGATATCGTTGCTTATACATATGTAATTAGGTATATACCATATACACAATAATATAATGTTTTATATATATGTGCAATATATTGTTTATATATATATATATATACATATATATATATATATATATATACTATAC